CTTCTCCAACTTCCGAAATCGGAATTTGACCCCAATATCAAAAATTCCACTCTCAGTCAAACTTTTCGAAAATCCAACTTTCGCCATTTCAAGTCAAATTCTACTACGAACCTCCAAATCACGATCCAGATGAGCTCTTATGTCCAAAATCACCCAATGGAGCTAATGGAATCATAAAAAATCCAATCCAATGTCAAATACTAAAAAGTCGAAACTTGGTCAAACCTTTCAAATTTAAAGCTTCTAGTTGAAAATCATTCTTCCAAATCAATTCCGAATAACCTGAAAGCTAAAACTGACGATTAACATAAGTCATAATACATCATACGGAGCTGCTCATGTCCACAAACAAGCGAGTAAAGTGTAAATGCTCAAAATGACCGGTCAGGTCGTTACATCATTGAACAAAGATGGCGCATCCACCTTACTCATTTTCGCCTGGTATTCTTCGGTTACCAGGAACTGGAGGTAGCTAGATACCCTGATAGGGGCGGAAAGAATATGGGCCTCCTCTGGGACAGTGATAATAACTTACCGCTTCCGGCCAGGATCCATGCTCAAAATGGGGAATCGACTGATCAACCTCAGACTTGAGTTCGGCCCGCCAGTCTCCGAGGATGGGCTTTTCCTTAGTACCTCTAATTCACCCAACCTGGAGAAGTCCTCTAGGGCAGTTAAGTCCACGCCATCAAAAAGCAGTGTTTGGGATCGTCCGCTCTGTGAGCCCCTTCGTTGGTTGCTCTTTCACCATTCGGACCTCATCGAACATGGACTCGGTAAACGAAGGCGACCTGACAATATATATCACACCGAGTGACTCCTTTAGGGAACTACCGGCATCCTGGGAAGTCTCGTCCATAGCCTCCTCATCAACCTCCCTAACTTGAGGGAGATCAGCCTCATGGGTCTCTTGTTCAACAGCCCTTACTCTTCAGGGGGCGACAGATCATGTGCCGCAAAAGGCCCATCCTCCTCGGACTCATCCTTAAGCTGGCAGAGCAAGTCTGAATCTGGTACTCGAGAGCTAGAGCTCTCATTTGGCTTACGAGCCAATCTTCTCTTCGGTTTTTTCTTCTTTGAGCTTGGGGAACCCAAAGCCTTTTTTTCTTCTTCTTCTCTCCTGTTGCAGCCCCTAGCTTCCCCGAACCATAGGAGTCAACGAGGCAAGTCCTCGCCCGACAGAGGCCTATGCTCGACGGTCTTTGGCAAACCTGCGAAAAGAAAATAAAGAAAATAAGAACACGATGCTAGAAGAAGAAACTCAATACAACTTGCTCGAGAAAGAAATCTTACCATGGGAACGGGCATCCTAATGTCTCTTTGAGAGTTTGTGCCACGAGCACTCAGAGTAGGGCATCTATGACACAATACCCTCGATCCACTCCTTGAGATGAGGAATCGTGCTTGGAACTCGAGCAAGGGCTGCACCACAACAAACACCAATGAGAAAAGGGAAGATTAAACATAAAATCGACGTATAAAAGGAGTTATACTCACATGATATGTTCCACTTCTCGGGGAATAGCCTCCACTCGGCAGGTATCATGTCGGTAGTCCTCACTCAGACAAAGCGTCCTTACTATCCCCGATCCCGGTCCTCGTCGATGCTTGAAAATGGGGCTTTGCGGCCTGGCGTACAAGTTATATCTGTCATACCCAAAGATTCGGGGGACTATACATGCAGAGTAGATTATCGATGGTGTACGTGCACGAATAAATTTTGTTCACAATGAATCGGAGGAGGATCATGAACCTCCACAATGATGGGTGAATTTAGCTGAGGCATACATTATACTTCCTGCAGAAATCTAACATAACCGGGTTCACCGGGCCCAATGTAAAGGGATAAGTGTAGACACTCAAATATCCCTCAACAAGGGTGGTAATGGCTTCCTCGGAGTCGGGGACCACTATGTCCTTCTCGACTCAATTGCAGTCCTTTCGGACTGTTGGGAGATCCTCTTTGGTGATTGGGCAAATATATCTTGAGGCCTCCTCATGCCAACCATGCACCGTAGAAGGCTTCCCAACCTTGAAGTTGTCGGTGACCGAACAACCCTCGGGCAAAGGAGATTCAACGGCCGGTTCATCGATAACCATGTCAGCAGTGGACCTCTTGAGGTCGACCATATCGGGAATGATCTCATTAATTTTGGCAATTTGTTGGGAAGTAGAAGCACCCTTTTGGGAAAGAGATTTGGAGGTTTTGGCCATTGCTATCTGAAAAAGGTTGAAAATAGATAGAGAAAGGTTGAAAGTTGAAAGCTCAGCTGTGTTGGCTTGGGTAGAGAATGAGTGAAATCATCAATTTACTGAGGAATCTTGAGTAACGAATGTAAAATTACTAGAGTATAAAAAAGGGTAATGAAATCCTGAAAGCACGAGGGTAGAAGTTTGGACGTAAAGTAAGAAATGGACGTAGGAGGGAATATTTATATGGGATCCGCGTCGTTTCGCGCCCTTGGACAGCCAACCGACGGCTAACACGCAGTTGAGATCAAAATGGCATGACTGACGAGACGTTTCGAGTTTTTTGTCATTTTTGACATGACGAATTGAAGAAGGAATCGAGGAGCTCATGTCGTTTCTCGTCAACTTACTCTCCGAGAAACGAGGGAACTATCTGTATATGGGTAAAACCGAGCTCATGGTACCCCCTAGCTTCTAATAAGATAAATCGAGCTAGAGACATAATGACAAGAAATCGAAATCGAGGCAAGGGCCTCATTGAGTCGGAGTCCGGGGGAGTGACACCCACCCTCGAGAATATCGGGGCCATGATCCGGGATTGGTCCAAATCCCAAAAGACTTTGGAGAATATTGTCGGGCAACCAAGCACGACTTACAGAAGGTCGTAATATCCGCGATCATCCAGATATCACGGTGTAGATCTCGACACGCATCGATAGAGAACCGGTGATTAGTTAAGCAGAAGATTTCTTACCTTTTATAGAATTGTACTTAGGGTAAAACTCCCCTACTATATAAATGAGAGTCTGATTATTCATTGAACACATTGTAACAAACACATACCAAGACAATATACTATTATTTTCTTTGTTCTTATTCTTCAGTGCTGGTCATTGTGAGTCTGGATCGGGGATGGATATTTCATTGAGGCTAGAATCCTCCTTCTCACGTGGTTTGAATTTACTATATCTTTATTTATTTAATCTAACGCAATTTATAATTTGTATCAAATTAGTCCATGTATCTTAAAAGCTACTTACAAATATAATTGTTATCCGTTTCTGAGGGTAAACATTAACCGTATAGATAGGCAATGTACTTTTCACTTGCCACAACTTTGTCGTACTTAGGAGTCGTTCGGTATAAAGGTGGGATATATCATGAGATTAATTATCCAATCTTCTCTATGAGATAACTAATCCCATCATTTTAGTGTAAAAGTTATCCCGAAATTAATTAACACCCCAAATTAAATATAAAATAAAGTTAATCCTAAATTTTATATTGGGATTATTATTCTTATCCCACGTACCAAACGATCCCTTAATTTGTACATATAGACAGAAACATATATAGTATAATGGAAAAACAGTACTGTTACAAGATTTATAAAAACTTTTATGGTTGAAGTTGCTACCGTTAACTTCTTATAAATTCTAGTCATAGCTATTCATATATTATAATTTCGTGATAAATTATTTTTGCTGCTATTTATGTATCAGTGATACTCCCTCCGGTACTATTTACGTATTTGTCACTCTTGTTAATGGTTGTTCCAAATATTTACCGTTTTTAAAACGTCAGAAGAATTAGATATTTTATTCAATTTTATCGCTAACTATTATAATTAGTATTCTAGAAAGACGAAATAGTTTGAGAGATCAAAGAATAATAAAGGATAATTTAAACAATTATCTCTTACTACTAATTTGGAAAATAGGTCACAAACTTTTACAAAATTTTATGGCTATTTTCACTAGATCTCTATATATATAATTAAGGGACGTAGGACCGGTGTTGTGGCACTCTACTGAGCAAGTATTTTAACTTATCTTTTATCTCAGTTTTTTTACCTTTTCTCTATTATTTTGTGTCTTAAAAATCATTTTTACCCTTCGGTTAGCCATTCAACAGTCACGCTGCTTCATTAACCCTTTTCATTGAACCTTCCTCTACTAATCATCTTAATTACGCCTCCTCTGCTCCTCTTCTCTCTCATAAAATATACCATAATCAGTTTATCCTTTTCTCTTTGTGCCTTGCCGGAAAAAAAAATGTTAGTAAGACAAGATTATGTGGCATCGTTTTTTATTTTCGACTTTGAAGCCAAATTTTAAGTCGAAAATAAAAAACGATCAGCAACGTTATTGCTTCAAATCACTCAAAAGCTTGATTCAAGGACATGACACTTTCTGCTCCGAAAAAAAAAACCCAAAAGCAGTTCATGACTTTGCAGGTTCCTTTTCTTCGAATTATCTTAACTTTTTTTACTCAATTATATTTGCTATTTATTTTAGGAACAATTTTAGAGGATGTCACGAATTCTCTAGATATTGAAATTAGAACTTGTGAAATATATACAAATAGGACAGCGTTGATTGAAGTGTTGGTCAATCTTTTGAGGTTTAGTTCGCGTAATTCTTACTTTAGTATTAGATTATTTTTTATGCTTCTACCATCCTTGAAAGCCAAAATTGGCTCATTTTGTCCACATTTCTTTTGCGACCAATACCTAAACATACCATGAATGGGGGTTTGTCTTCTTGAAAAAATATCCAATACCTAAACATACCATGAATGGGGGTTTGTCTTCTTGAAAAAATATTCTTTAACTTTTTGTGTTAAAATGATTTTTTTTAATGACAAATGATTGAAATTATCTGCATGTCTGATCTGAGTATTTTAAGGATGTTATTGCAGGACTATTTCAAATATGTTACCGACAAATCTATATATATATATATAATTGAGGGACGTAGGACCAGTGATGTGGCACTCTACTGAGCAAGTATTTTAACATATATTTTTTCTCAGTTTTTTTACCTTTTCTCTATTATTTTGTTTCTTAAAAATCATTTTTACCCTTCGGTTAGCCATTCAACAGTCACGCTGCTTCATTAACCCTTTTCGTTGAACCTTCCTCTACTAATCATCTTAATTACGCCTCCTCTGCTCCTCTTCTCTCTCATAAATATACCATAGTCAGTTTATCCTTTTCTCTTTGTGCCTTGCCGGAAAATAAATGTTAGCAAGACAAGATTATGTGGCATCGTTTTTTATTTTCAACTTTGAAGCCAAATTTCAAGTCGAAAATTAAAAACGATCAGCAACGTTATTGCTTCAAATCACTCAAAAACTTGATTCAAGGACATGATACTTTCTGCTCCGGAAAAAAAAAATCAAAAGCAGTTCATGACTTTGCAGGTTCCTTTTCTTCGAATTATCTTAACTTTTTTTACTCAATTATATTTGCTATTTATTTTAGGAACAATTTTAGAGGATGTCACGAATTCTCTAGATATTGAAATTAGAACTTGTGAAATATATATAGATAGGACAGGGTTGATTGAAGTGTTGGTCAATCTTTTGAGGTTTAGTTCACGTAATTCTTACTTTAGTATTAGATTATTTTTTATGCTTCTACCATCCTTGAAAGCCAAAATTGGCTCATTTTGTCCACATTTCTTTTGCGACCAATACCTAAACATACCATGAATGGGGGGTCTGTCTTCTTGAAAAAATATTCTTTAACTTTTTGTGTTAAAATGATTTTTTTATGGCAAATGGTTGAAATTATCTGCATGTCTGATCTGAGTATTTTAAGGATGTTATTGTAGGACTATTTCAAGTATGGTGCCGACAAAGCAATCGATAATCCATGGGCATCTATTATATTCTCGTGCTTCCTTCTTATAAAGTTGGCTCAGAGTTTGTGATCATGTATTTGTATGAAACCATTTTTGTTAAATTTGTGCTATAGTTTAGCGCAATACGAGTATTTACAACTTACATATATGTATGCCATTTGGATTTACAGATGTTTTACATAGTTGGTTTCTTAATTTCAGTATACAATTTTAATGGAGGTATATGTAATTGGGGCAATGGGTTCCTTCTGGTGGTTCAAGTGCGAGAATATTTTTGTTTATAACTGAGAATGTGTTAGACATTTTATTTTTCTCCTGCTAAATCTGAAAATATATTAGTATCAAATAGAGTCTTTTGTTCTTCTATGATGTGCTTGATAATTTTATTTTTGTTCTTTCTGTGTAATATTGCTATTTTTTTTTTCATTTCCCTAGAATGAATATGCCAGATATTAAAGATTACAAAAATAGAATGGTCTAATCATTCTCCTACTTCTCTTTCTGTTTCTTCTCCTTTGTCTTTCGTTTGTCCTTTTTTGGTAAGTAATCTTTCATTTTGTAAAACCAAATGATGTATTTTTGTATGTTTTAGCCTTGATTATTTACTATTGATCATATTTTGTATCTTTAATTAAATATAATATTAAAAAGAATTAAGAAACTATGGAAATACAAAGAAAACTGAATGGTATGTTGAACTTTAATTAAATATTGTAGAAGTGATTATATTTTCTCTCACTTTGCTTTTAATACCTTATTTTGAAATTTTAAAAATACTCCGAATACAAAAGCAAATAAAAAGAATGAAAATGAAGGATGATGTAAAGATATAGAAATATAAGACTAAACCTAGTGTCATTGTTTATTTATTTATTTATTGCTCTTGAAATTATATAATAAAAGTTTTTGCTGTAACATATAGAAGAACTATTTGTCGTGATGAATTTCAAAATTATATTGTTTAATAATGATAGTATCACTTTGTGGCATGATATAGGATATCATCAAAATATCGCAAATAGTACAAAGAGGTTCCGAGGTCAATAGTTAATGTTCATTCAAGGACATTATCTTAATATTAATATATTATCCAATTTTATTCTCATCAAAAAAGAAGATTTAGCCCTTCCATGTGTGTAAAATTAGATAAAGCTGAGTCTTAGAAGATTTTAAAAAGGAGCAATTAACTTTGGAGTACAATTACATCATAAGTGATAATGTTATGGTTGGAGAGCATAGACAAGATAAAAATGAACAAAGAATAAAGATTAAATTTGTAATTATAAAAATTTTACCATAAAATTTCATCCATACCTTCATATTTTTCGGATCGTGCGGAGCGCGTCCAAATTGACTAGTATATTAATATAAAGGAGAGATATAGAAGAGTGATGTGGCATCTTTCATAGGTGAGGATTGCTATTTATCTTTTTTCATGTTTTTTTGCCATTTTTCCTTCTTTTTTAATTCCCATTTGTATTATCAAAAGTTTTTTTTTCAAAAATGAGAGGAACGGTGCAACAATTAATTACTGTTGGAGTTTGAAAGACGCTTCCTATGAAAGGTTACGACAGTTATTTCCTTTTCTAATTATGGCAATTAAAGTAGTAAACAAGTAATTGCCTCTAAATATTTTGGTCAATTCCCCTGTAATTAATGTTATTAATTAATACGTTTAATATAAATTAGGCTAAGCTCTTCCTTTTTGACAACTATAGTAGCACTCCAACAGATATATTTATTCGCTTTAGCAACTTAAAAAATATAATGCAAATGATGGAAATCCATGTCATAGAACATTTTCTTTAACTTTGGGTATACTTTTCTTTGAGGAAGATAATCTCATGAAAAATACTCTGTAGAAGCAAGCATCTATAAACCGATTGGTTCATCATAAGCGATCGAGAAAGGATTGGACAAACATGTATTAACAGAATAATTGAGGTGAGTTTTTCAAAATCTTATTTGGAATTTTCTTATTCATTTTATATAACTATATATAATTAAAAAGAAATTTTTAGCGAAACCCGACATGATGCAAAAGAATAGGAAGACAAACAACTATGTATATATAACCTATTTTTATTATTTTTAATATCCGAATATTAAAAGAAGATCATTTCGTAAAGAGGTTTTTTCTAAATAGTTCACTAGTTAACTATAATTTCAAGTCATGACTATTTGAAAGTTTTATCTTTTATGAATAAACCCTTTGGTAACTATTTACTAATTATAAAGACAAACCTGTTATATCACGGGTTAGGCAAAAAGATAATGACGGCTGATTGGGTCCTAATTTCCCATTTCTCTTCGTTGAGCCATCTTAGGCCGTTCTGGGCCGCTCATTCCCCTTTTCTCTTGGGAAAATGACATGAAAACTTACACAAATGTCCCAAATAACTCTCAACTTATCAATTTTTAGCCATTAGTCATAAACTTATCAAAACTAGTTAAAAACATATAAAATTTTTAAAAAAAATAAATAAGGTTTTTTCTCTCAGAGAATCACATGGAAAAATCATCTTTCATATTTTTAAGCGTAATTAGCAACATTAAATGCAAGACGGAAAGGAAATTTCATGGATGGGGTAGCACATAAGGTGATGAAATATAATATATATATATATACCCAAAAATCTAAGCAAAAAAAGAAGTTTTCCAATGGGTATGATTGAAATTCATTAAAAACATATAAATAAGTCAATATACAAAATTTGAGGAAGATTAGAGGTCATTTGGACTGGTTTGTATCAAGATTCGTAATTAAATCGAGTTCAAAAAATGCTTCTGTAACATATGTATCAAACATGTATCAAACATGTATCTCACACACATGTATATATGGATATACATGTGATACACAATTGATACAAATATGATATATATGTGTATCACAAATGATATACAGTGTGATACACATATCATTTTTTTTATGTTCAGTTATTACTTCGAATTTTCAATTAAACCACCTCAAAACTTCACCAAATCATCCCAAAATTGAGATTCAAAATCCTAAAGATGTACCCAATCTATTCTAGTAACACCCACTAAAAAAAAAAAGCAAAAATTTGATTTTTTTTGTTACAAATAGCTAATTGGCTAATACTAGTAATATATGGCTAATAATAGTAATATTTTATGAATTTGCCAATTTTTGTAATGAGCTACTTATAAATGGACATAACTGGTAGTTTTCCAAAATGACACTGTATAGGTTCTCTCTAAATAATAGCAAAAAAATATATTTTGTATATGTATATATATAAATTACACAAACTTTATACATTTTTTGGTTATCGAATGTAAATAGTTTCTGGCGTGGGCTAAAAGTTAAAAAAGAAGAAGCTTCTCTCATGTAACGACCCCGCGGTCGTTTCGAGAGTTGTAGCCTCGTTCCCCTATTTTCCTGCTTCTTATGTGTTCTACAACTGTATTTTAACTTATCGGGTTAGTTGGTTTGGGTCCGGAGTGCTTTCGGAGTGAATTGAGAATACTTAGTCTCTTAATTGAAAGCTTGAGTTGAAAAAGTTGACCGGATTGACTTATGTGTAAACAATCTCGAATTTTAATTTTGCTGGTTATGTTAGCTCCGTTAGGTGATTTTGGACTTAGGAATGCGTCTGGAATGAGATTTGGAGTCCGTAGTGGAATTAGCCTTGAATTGGCGAAAGCTGGAATTTTTGCTATTTTGGCCAGCAATGAAAATTTTGATATCAGGGTTAGATTTGATTTTCGGAAGTTGGACTAGTTCCTTGGTGTCATTTATGACTTGGGTGCAAAATTTGAGTCGGATGTGGTTTGGTAGGTTTTGGCGTCATTTGTAGAATTTGGAAGTTTCGAAGTTCATTAGGCTTGAATTCGTGTGTAATTCTTATTTTGATATTGTTTGAGATGATTTGGGGATTCGACTAAGTTCGCATCGGGTTATAAGACTTCTTGGTACATTTGGTTGAGGTCCCGAGGGCCCCAGGGTGATTTCGGGTGGCTAACGGCTTGAATTGAGTTGAAGTGTGCATGCTGAAGTGCTGCTGGTTCTGGTATTTTCGCACCTGCGGTGGGGAGCCCGTTGGTGCGGCCCCGTAGAAGCGAGTAGGAGGTCACAAATGTGGGCAAGGTTGGGTGGGCTGGAATTGCAGAGCGAAGAGGTGTGCGCATCTGCGAGCCTGAAGATGCGAGGATGGCTCCACAGATGCGAAGGCAGGGATTTTGGTTGTTCCCGCACAAGCGGATGAATGAGAGCAGGTGCACCTCCGTAGGTGCGAGACCAGTGTTTTAAGTGAGTTTCCACAAAAGCGGAGTTCTAAATGCAAAAGTGTCTCCGCAGGTACGGATATTGCACCGCGGGTGCGGGTTTGCTAGGCAAAACCTATAAATAGAACACTTCGAGATTTTTCACCATTTTTCTCACTTTGAGCTCGGATGTTTTAGAGGGATTTCAAAGAAATTATTGAGGTAAGTTCCTTGTGCCTATTTATCTTCAATAATGGTATTTTTCCACTGATTTTACGCCTAATTAGTGAGATTTTGAAGTGAAATTTGGAAGTTTAGGGCTTGAGAATTGGAGAGTGAATTTTGGAGTTTTAGATGACCAAATAATGTCAGATTTTGATAATTTTAGTATGGCTGGACTCGTGAGTGAATGAGCTTTCGGGTTTAGTGACTTTTGTCGGATTTAGAGACGTGGCCCGGGGGCCGGGTTTGAGCCAATTTCGAATTTTGAGTCTAATTTAGTAGTTTTCTTATGGAATTGATTCCTTTAGCATATATTAATTGTATTGTACATGGATCCCAAAGGGCCACAATCGGGGAAATAAACCTGTGCCTGCAGATGGGTCCAACTTGGTTTGATGCTGAGTTTCAAGTATTGGACATATCCACCACATAAAATCTGTTGTTGGGACGATCTTGGATACATGCTGCTGGAGCCGTAGCATCTACGATACACCAGGCCGTGAAGTTTGAATTGAATCATCAGGAAGTGATCATTCATGGAGACGGGAATAACCCCATTTACACCAATCAAACTATTCCGGTTGTCGAGAATAGAAGGAATCTGGGTGGAGAAATGTACCATTGCATCGAGCGTGTCAATGCAATTGAAAAGGATAATTGGTGGAGCAACAAAATAAAAAGTATATTGACATGGACAGGGTATGAACCCGGCAAGGGTTTCGGCAAGAATCTCCAAGGGATCACCAAACCGATACAGTTAAAGAACCACGATACAACCTTTGGTCTTGGGTACGAATACACCTGGCAGGAGTACGATGATTGGTCACTTCCATGGCGTGGTCCCTATTACCCTCTCGAACAGCCAATACCATATTTGTACTAGACGTTTCAACAAACTGGCATGATATGGGGAT